TGTACAACCACCTACATATACACACCTGTACACCCACATACATATACACACCTGTACACCCACATACATACATACCTGTACACCCACCTTACCTACATATACACACCTGTACACCCACCTACATATACACACCTGTACACCCACATACATATACACACCTGTACACCCACATACATACACACCCGTACACCCACATACATACACACACCTGTACAACCACCTACATATACACACCTGTACACCCACATACATATACACACCTGTACAACCACCTACATACACACCTGTACAACTACCTACATATACACACCTGTACACCCACCTACATATACACACCTGTACACCCACATACATACACACCTGTACACCCACGTACATACACACACCTGTACAACCACCTACATACACACCTGTACACCCACCTGTACAACCACCTACATATACACACCTGTACACCCACATACATATACACACCTGTACACCCACATACATATACACACCTGTACACCCACATACATATACACACCTATACACCCACATACATATACACACCTATACACCCACATACATACACACACCTATACACCCACATACATATACACACCTATACACCCACATACATATACACACCTATACACCCACATACATATACACACCTATACACCCACATACATATACACACCTATACACCCACATACATATACACACCTATACACCCACATACATATACACACCTATACACCCACATACATACACACACCTGTACACCCACATACATATACACACCTGTACACCCACACCTATACAACCACCTACATACACACACCTGTAAAACCACATACATATACACACCTGTACAACCACATACATATACACACCTGTACAACCACCTACATACACACCAATACAACCATCTACATACACAACAATACAACCACCTACATACACACCAATACAACCATCTACATACACAACAATACAACCACCTACATACACACCAATACAACCATCTACATACACAACAATACAACAACCTACATACACACCAATACAACCATCTACATACACCACAATACAACAACCTACATACACAACAATACAACCACCTACATACACACCAATACAACCACCTACATACACACACCTGTACACCCACCTACGTACACACACCTGTACACCCACCTACATACACACACCTGTACAACCACATACATATACACACCTGTACACCCACCTACATACACACACCTGTACAACCACCTACGCACACACACCTGTACTGCTGCCTTGTGTCCCGTCATGTAGCGCACACAGTTACCGGTGAGTACGTCCCACAGCCGCACGGTGCGATCGCTCGAGCCCGTCGCTACGTAGTTCGAGTTCGGGTGGAACTGGACGCAGTCGACATCCGACAGATGACCGGCGAAGATGCGCACGGGCTGGTGTTGGTCAGTCGCCCAGACTCGCGCCGCCTTGTCGCGGCCCCCAGATGCAAAGTAGTAGCCGTGTGGACTAAACTTGACGTCCCACACCGGGTGCGTGTGCCTGGGGGTGAACGATGACGAATATACGGGTCAACAACAGATAACACAGACCGATGAGAGTGCCGTGAGCAGAGCATTAATCCCTGAACTATCTCCCTCAACCCTAGCTCTAATCCTAACTAAACTCATTTCCAACTTAACCCAAAGTTAACCACCGTGACTAGTGACAATTATCCCTTATCAGTGCAAATCATCGAGCTTTTCAAGTAACTCTTAAAACTACCATTAACTTTCGCCCCAAACGATTCTCCCGTCGCCTCCACTCACCCAGTCCGGACCCACCCCTCCCACACAAGCTGCGGTCCCCGTGGAACACCTGGCACACGCTGCACTCACCCCTTGTAGCAGACGAGACAGGTGTAGGTGAGCAGGCTCCACATCCGTATCATCGTATCCTCAGAGCAGGAGATCAGGTACTTGCGATCGTGGCTGAATCGTGTCGCGTACACTGGCCCGCTGTGACCGTACAGCACCTTCACATCAGCCGACGTACGGTCGTCCATCATACGCTCCAACACGTCATCTGTGCAAGCAGAGGCACCACAAGTGGGAAAGGTTAGTTGCAATCCACTGATCCACACCCCATTTTATGTCTGATTCAGTGCCAAAGTGGTTTTGAGTAATATATGAATTTTACGATTCCATCTTGTCATTTTTAAAGTTGAAATCATCGTATTTCAACCGTTACGTGTTACAAATGTATCAGATTTGTGTGAAATTAGTATGTGCAAGGATTATTAAATGAAAGTGTGAATGACACTATAGCTCACCTTGGGTGTGATAGAAGATGGAGATGATATTTAAAATTTGGTAAGTGTTTCATTTATGACGGACCAAAATGTGATCAAATGTCCTTATTCCCTGTTTTATACTAATAGAAATTTTACTGTTTTGTTTTAGGGTTAGTTTTAATGCGAAAATAAATGTTTCAGATCTGAATGTCTGAAATCTGGGCGAGAGATGGTGCTATGTCTAAAGTTTTCGATTATAGCGCAAATAAAAGTAATAAAATATTCCAGTCTAATTACTGTAACGAAGAATCTAAAACACAATATTACACATAGGTATGATTAGGTAGGTAGGCAGGTAGGTAGGTAGGTAAATTTAACAAAATCGAATAAATCTAGAGGGCCTTTTCCATTTTTGCCAAAAAGTAAGCGTGGCTCGAAAGGAGGTCGACTGGCATGCTCTAAAATAGGACGTTCAAATCTCTCCCATAGGAGTAACAACTGTATGCAATTTGAAACATGTGGATCAAACTGTTCTTGAGTTATCGTTGACCATAGGCACTGGGCAGACACTGAAATGCATAGTGAAATTGCCAAAATCTACCTAATTTGCATAATTTAACAAATATATCAAAACCTGTGTGATATGTTTTGGGGCCAGTCCTTATTCATTCACATACCAAAAATGAACAAAATCCGTTGAACCTGAACTGACTTAAGGCCATTTCCATTTTTGTCAAAAAGTGGGCGTGGCTCGAGAGTAGGTTGACTGGTGTGCTCCAAAATAGGACGTTCAACTGTCTCCCATAGGAGTAACAACTGTATGCAAGTTGAAACATGTGGGTCAAATGGTTCTTGAGTTATCTTTGACTGTAGGCAGACACTGAAATGCATAGTGAAATTGCCAAAATCTACCTAATTCGCATAATTTAAAAAAAATCTCAAAACCTGTGTGATATGTTTTGGGGCCAGTCCTTATTCATTCACATACAAAAAAGGAGCAAAATCCGATGAACCTGAACTGACTTATGGCCATTTCCATTTTTGCCAAAAAGTGGGCGTGGCTCAAAAGTCGGTCAACTGGCGTGCCCCAAAATAGGACGTTCACACCTCTCCCATAGGAGTAACAACTGCATGTAATTTGAAACATGTGGGTCAAACGGTTCTCAAGTTATCGTTGACCATAGCCAAATGTTGACGGACGGACGGACGGACGGACGGACATACGACGGACGACGCCCCATGGCAATAGCTCATCTTAATGATGCCAAGGTGAGCTAAAAAATCACCAAACCTAACCCTAACATAAATTCGTGACAAAGAGCAATAGATGCTGTCACATACCTTAGTGACTACAATTGCATGGTTGGCTACAACTTTCACAATGAAATATTCAAGCACCATGACAATGCCACCAACCAAAGATTAGCTCGGAATTTTACGGATGTTGTTTTTTAAGAGCAAACAAAGCTCCATAAATCTGTGAAAAAAAGTTTGAATCACTGACCTGCCTCAGTATCGATGATGGATAGCTCGCTGGGTGGTTTCATACAGCGTAGCTTACTCAACGTCAACGTCCACACTCGTATCACACCATCAGCAAAGCCAGCCGCCATCATGCTCGAGTCCTCGGCTATCTCAGCACTGGAAACACCTACAGAAAGAAAACGCTAAAACTGAAACGGTCATTTTTTTCCGAATGAGGGTGTGGGTGGCCGTTATGTCTGCCGGCTTCATAAGACATGCTCCGCATCATTAGCAGGGTCTAGATGTAGCAGAGAACGTCACATGGGGTGTGTCCCGGCGCCAGATGTAGAGTTGAAGTGTTTGTGTAATGGAGAGACCAGTAGTCAGTAGCAGGTGAAACAGACGCAGAGCAGCTCTCTACTTGAAACGAAATTGACAACTGTGGAAGGATGGTACATCATAATACTATAATGCTTTGTGGAAATCATATACCTTGGTATGTATTGGCGAATGTATAGAAGCAGATGGAAGGGAGATTCTCTTCTCCCAGTTTCACTCTTTTCGCAGCCTCCCGTAGCGCATGAATCTTGTCCAACTTGTCTGCATCGGTTAATTCTGGCAGTGGTATTCTGGTAATCCCATACAAGATGCATAAGGTAAGGCTATCACCATACGACACTTTTTATGGTTAAATTGCTGCATTATACTTCCTATTTTACTATACTGTTCGATGTGAACATACACTCGTGACTCATGCATAGCCCATAGCAAGCAATTAATGTCAGGAACATTATTTCAAATCGTCCAGGTTTTTTGGATTTTTAACTAGTTGAGAAACAATTTTATCAGGTAAGAATTTGACGATACATTTAGTCCCGTTAGTTCTTACATTTAATGTAAAAAAATGGCAACAAAAATTTTACAAATTTTACCATAGAAGATTCGTGACGTAGTCAATTTAACGTGAGAACTTTCTCGGTATTGTATTCTTTTGTATCGTGCACACGTTTTGACAGGTGCAGGGATTCTCTGCAAGTTACAGCAATAGTTGCTCACAGACAATGTCAACAGGCATGTGACAAACATAAAATAAGGACCCTTAGAGAATAGCGTGCCAAGATACGTGCCTGGTGGCAGATGGAGCGTTCGGATCATTCTTCGCCTTCCTGGAGAAGAGCTCCTTCTTTGGCTTCTTCTTTTTTGGCTTGTCCTCGCCATCTGCGGCTTCCTCCTCCTCCTCTAGCTGCACACTGAGGTCAGGTTCCTTCAGAAGACCGAAGAACACCTTCACCTGCACATGCAAGGGGAGTGTATTACTTACACGAAGTTAGGACATGGCTAGAGCCTCGATCGTGAAGTTATGACAACTGCAAAGCAATGCAGTTAAACATTCTAGTCAGTGCCTTTCCGTCGCTTGTGGAAATTTGCAACTAGGTTATTAGTGGGGTCTATTTGAAGCATGCTGAATATTACTACAAAGTGCTAAAGAAAATTTTTTACATTTTAGTCAAATTATTAATACGATTTAATATTTTTTTTCAAATAAAACAGAAACAGAATAAATGAAATGAAGTATTTTACGGTTAGCATCCCCGACTTCTTTAATAAGTTTTTCGTTCAAGGTGTATAGAAGGAGTTTATACCTACCTATTGAAATTTCTGCTTTTTCAAATAGATAAACCTCGCAACAAAAAGCCTATATAGACCTACTGTGAGCATACTTGCAGTGTGCAAACATCATGAAATGTTCTCATGGAGCCAGATAAGTGCTACAAACATTGGGATTTGCAAAATCACGTCCGATGCGGTTATGTTACACAGCTAACAGTAGCCCTACGAACGAAAATACTATATTTGTTTCCTGATTGCATAAGTAATATAGATAACGATATGATTTAAACAAATCTCAAAATTTTGTTCTGAATAAACATCGAATAATGAATTCTAACTTGTTTTCTCATAGCAAGGAACTGTTAATGAATCGAGCCGATCACTATGCTGTGTCCCGGATGTGCAAACATCACTGTGGTGCTACTTTCGTAAGAGAAGTAATTTCATTTAAATTTTGAGAAGAAATGTTATGAAAGTAGCAATACAAATGAGTTGTAGTGAATTTCTGCAACATATGCAAGCTCACAGTAGGTATATATATGCATTTAGCTGTGAGGTTTTACAACTTTAACAACTCATAAATTTACTCTTTTTCTTCTACAATTGTTCAAAATTTGATGCAGTAGGCGTTGTCTTGTTTTTCCTTTGTTTTATTTTACTACGAGAATTTTGTTGTATTTAATTAATTTGTATGTATCATATGCAGCATGCTCTGATTTTGAGTAGCATAAATAAAGCACGTGCATGTACATTGCTCTTGAGCGTATTTCACTCTACTCGTTATCACTAACCTTATTAGCATCTCTTCTTGCCTCTCCCCCCAGTGCTCCTGCCACTGCAGTGATCTGTTTCTTGTTTCTAGGAATCCCATCAAATACATCTATATAAAGGTGCTCCTGTATAAGATTTAGAAGGAAGTTTTTCTTCTTCGCCTGCAGGTGGCGCTTCAGTAATGTGTAAGAATCCCTGGACATACGTATGACATATTTGCTGGTCCTGAAAAATAAAACTATTAGGTAAACTAACAATATCAAGATGAGAATTACACAAAATTTCAAATTGTTATTATAATTCACAAACTAGAGTAATCTATTATTAGCG